ATGATCCCCTGAGCACCTCCAGGAGTGATTCCTGAGTGCAAAGCCAGGAGTAACTCCTGTGCATTGCTGGATGTGACCCAAAAAGCAAAACAAAACAAAGAAAAAAAACTATATGTTGGGAAGTTTTCTGATCTTTCCCCACTCTTTTTGTAGATGTTATTTTTTTCTCATGCGCAGGGAAAATGTCTAAAAGAGTATTTGATGATGATCCTTCTCTCCTCTCAGTGTCTCCAGCACTCTGGCTAATAAATCTCTCTCAGACACAAAGCATCAGAGCCATCAATTCAATCCACATGTGATTGTTGTCTTTCTTGGCCCTTTTCTCATTTGCTTGTGTGTGTGTGTGTGTGTGTGTGTGTGTGTTTTAGCTTTGTTAAAGTGTTGGTTCCTGTTCTTAGTTTAAAAGATTGAGAAGCAGAATAATGGTGAGAACTATGGATGAAAGACTTCAGAAAATCATCTCACCATAAAAGCCATGAAAAGAATGGCAGCCATCGGAATCAAATGTCAAGAACTTTAAATTAAACAAACACTGGCAACATTAGGAAGGGTTTTTATGCAACTCACTGGAAAACTCACACAGTATGATCCAAAATGAATCTAAGGCAATTTACATGCAAAATCCTGGTATTCTCTAACATTTATAGCTGGTATGTCAACATTTGCAAGCATTTATACAAGACCAAAAAAACCCGTGAATAACCATAGATCAGTGTCATTTTACCATATTCTCATCCTTATCTTTAAGTTTACATGGAAGTTCAAGTGAATCAAATAGTTAAGACAGTTGTAAATTTCCTCACAAATCTACTCCTGTGTAGTGAAGAGAATTAAAACATGTCTACATAAAAAAATTGTTTGTAAATGTTCATAATAGCATTACTCAAAAAGCCTTTTAAAAAAATGGTCCCAAATGGTCATTAATTGATGATATGTCAAAAATCACTCAATATAAAACACCAACTTTTATTATTTTGTGTTAGTTATTTTAAATAATATCTTTTTGTGTATGCCCACAAAGTTTCTTAATATGAGACCATTATGAGTTTAAGAAAGTAAATTAGATATAGCAAGAAGTCCATATAGTTTGTTGTTGTTTATTTGCTTGTTTGTTTCACTTACCAAGAAAGGACTCTCCTGGGATTCTTGGCCAACCAGCTAGCAGGAGGGTTCAAAGCAAGAACCTTCGGATGCTCAGACCCAATGATTCTAGGGATTATCTGGGTCACCCTGCAGAATTGGAAGCCTCCAGAACTACATTCAGTGGTTCTTAGGAGACTATGTGGTGCCAGGAATTGAACCCAGGTCAACCATATGCAAGGCATATGTCTTAACTCCTTTACAATCTTTCAAGCCTCCAAGATAATTTTTTATTCCATAGACTGAAAAATCCAGATAGAGCACCAGTAGATGAACTCTATAGTTTTGCCATAAAACACACTCAATTAAGTTTGAGTTTTAGCTCCAAGTAGAATTGTGCTCTCCCTCCTGTACCTGGTCCAGTGCTCTCATCTTTTTTTGATCGATAAGAAGTATCTAGAAAACAAGTTTTACTTCTATTCGATATGCCAAACACAGTAACAACAAAATCTCCAATGGAGACGTTACTGGGCCCGCTCGAGCAAATCAATGAACAACGGGAGGGCCTTTACTTACTTACTTATTTACTGTAAACCAGTGGTTCTAAAATTGTGGTCCCCAGATCACATCAGTATTAACATTGTGTGGTGCTTCTGAGAAATGCAATATTTGAACATTGCAGCTTCCTTCGACAGCAGCAGCCTAGCAGTGGGAATCGTGGAATGATTCCCAGCAAGCTGTGTTTGGACTTCAGGTAACTCTAACCTCAAATTACAGAGGCACTGCTAGAAATTGTTCCCCTCTAGAACAGGGGAAAGAAGAAAGGAGTGGGAAAGTAAAAGTTGGGCATGTTTTCCAGAGATAATCAGGCCTTTTACGACAGTCGAATTGATTTAAATATGAAGTACCTTAAGACATAGCATGAATTTTCTTTGTCATTCTTGTTCTCTATAATCCACATACCAACTCCTTAGAAAAGGTTCATGAATTCTAGGACCTCCTCTAATCCCTGTAATCACTGGTAGATCTGGCTTAGAATATTTTCTTAGAATATTTTCTTTCTATTTATTTATTTATTGATTGATTGATTGATTTTATTTGGCCCTGAACCCTACCTGACTATGCTCAAGGATTACTTCTGGCTCGGAACTCAGGGATCATTCATGCATAGCTAGCTCGGGGGGACCATATGAGATGCTGGGAAGTGTACCTGGGTCAGCCACTGCAAGGCAAGCACCCTACACACTGTACGATAATTCCAGCCCCACTTAGAATCTTTTCTTTTGGAGTAGTAATAGAGAGTGTGGAAAGGAAGATGGCATCTATACATTCCCTCAAGTTGCAATGAAACATTTTTGACTATATCTACAACCCCTGCAAATATGACATCAAGAGCCCCAACTTAGGGCTTCAAAACCTGACATGCTGATCAGCTAGTAAATATGTTGGAGCCCCTGAAACAGTCTCTAGTTGCTAATGAGGGTTCATTGTATATAGGAGGTGTTGGTGATAATTATTGAAAGGGTCAGATTTCCCTGAAGGACTCCTGGTTTGGCATCTAAGAATAAATATTCAGAGGATAGTTGCTGTGTTAAAATTCTGCTAGCTAGAGATGTTGATCTTGAAATTCTGGGTATGCAGGCAAATTTCCAGGAAGACAATGCTTTACATGTGCCCTATGTGTGCTGAAAGTCTTGCTGTTCTCTAAGGTCCAACCGGCTTGTGGGTACTTGTCACAGAGATGCAGTCATGCATAGTATGGACATTAGGGGCAACTGGCATTGTAGGACTCACTGAAGAATCAAGTAAATTAAAAGACCTTGCAGGGCCTTAAAAGGCCATCAGCTCAACGTTATATGAAACCAATGATTATAATTAAAATTGGAAGGCCTAAGTCTGGATTCTTGGTTCAAATTATTTCTTTCCTCATAAAGTAACAGAATAGGAAACTAACACCCAAGAATGGCTGAGATTAGTACTAGGAATTTTACTCCTTGACTTGGAGGCCAACCACACATACTAGGGGGAAAGGGAGCTCAGATAAAGAGGGGAACACCAAATAAAGGTGTTGGGAGGATCCTCTCAGGATGGGAGAAGCATGCTGAAAGTAGACTATAGACCAAACATGATTGCCACTCAATGTTTCTTTTGCAAACCACAACACCCAAAAGGAGAGAGAGAGAGAGAGAGAGAGAGAGAGAGAACAAAAGGGAATTCCCTGCCACAGAGACAGGGTGGGATGGGGGGATGGGGGGTGGGAGGGATGCTGGGATCCGTGGTGGTGGGAAATGGGCACTGGTGGAGGGATGGGTGTTTGATCATTGTATAAGTGAAACCCAAGCACAAAAATGTGTAAGTCTGCAACTGTACCTCATGATGTCTCACTATTAAAAAATTTTATAATAAAAAAATAATAAAAAATTTTAAAAATGAACAAAAAAATAAAAAATAAATAAAAACATTTACCCAAAAAATATTTTTTTATTAGTGAAACACTATGTGGTACAGTTGTTGACTTACAAACTTTTGTGCTTGGGTTTCAGTCATACAATGATCGAGTACCCATCCCTCCACCAGTGCCCATTCTCGACCACCACTGATCCCAGTATCCCTCCCACCACACATCCCCCCATCCCACTCTACCTCTGTGGCAGGGCACTCCTTTTTTGTTCTCTCTCTCCTTTTGGGTCCTGTGTTTTGCAAGAGAGGTATTGAGTGGCAGTCATGTTTGGTCTATAGTCTACTTTCAGCATGCATCTCCCATCCTGGGCGTATCTTCCCAATACCCTTTATTTGGTGCTCCCTTCTCTATCTGAGCTGCCTTTTTCTTTTTTTAATGGACATCCTGTTCTATATCCTGGGGTATCTAGTGGAGTACTGGAAGTCAAAATTAGAAGAGGGGAGAGGGAAATGGAGAAAGAAAGGGGGAAAAGAAAGGAAAAGAAAGCCTACAAAAAAGGATGAAACCAGAAGGGACAGAGAAGGAGTGAGAAAGAGAAGGAAAGGGAGGTGAAGGATTATAAAATGGTGCCTGCTGTTTACAGAGTGTTCATTTCTTTCTGAGTCTTGTCCAACATATTTGATCTCTCATGTAAGACTTGGTCATGGAAGAATCTTAGAGAAGAAAAACTATATTCTTTCTTTTAAAATTTACTCACTGGGGGCTGGAGAGATAGCACAGTGGGGAGGGCGTTTGCCTTGCACGCGGCTGACCTGGGTTCAATTTCCAGTATCCCATATGGTCTCCTGAGCACCGCCAGGAGTAACTCCTGAGTGCAGAGCCAGGAGTAACCCCTATGCATTGCCAGGTGTGACCCAAAAATCAAAAAAAAAAAATTTACTCACAAAAATCTTTTTATAACTATGTCTCAAGATTTAAGTTAACTAATCAAACCAACTTTCTATTGAAAAATGCAGATTAGATCATTCCCTGTGAGTTGCTCTGGAAGGAAAAGGTTGAGTCCACCTTCCAAAGTCCAACCTTCACAGACCGAGCTCATTCTGACCTTCTCATAATGCTGCTCTGACTTCTAAAGTTCGGATGCTCAAGTTCTTATGCTTACAGGAATCAGAAAGTTGAATGTGCTATGCTGAAAGGGGCCTAGTGAAATAATTTCATGAGCAATAGAGATTCGTCTTCAGTGTCAGGAGGTAATATGGAGAAGTGAGGGATAATGGCAAACTGGAGTCCCCATGCTCTCAGCTCCAGCCAACAGTTGTCATATGTCAGGTGAAGGTGACCTCAGACGCTGGCCCTTTGCCTTTTTCATAAGAAAGTGGACATTGAGTGTTCATGCAATATTCAGTTTGTGTCATTTCCAGGTTGTGTCTGTTCTTAGACTTACTTGGACCATAGTTGTATATTTTCCTAAGTTGAAAACAGATGGAGTAATCCCATTTCTGTCTCCTTTGTCTTCCAGGACATTATATTTTTGTGGACACCTCCTTTGCCAAGCAGGGGGAGAAAGCCATACTAGTAAGTTCTGACTTAGAGGCTGAGGAATGGAGCTGCCTTCGACTAGTCTACCAGATAACTTCATCTGACAGGGCTCCCGCCGAACCCAGCCAACTGAATCTTTATGTGAGATTTGAAGATGAAAACTTTGATCGCTTACTTTGGTCCACTAAGGAACCATCAGATAGCTGGCTCATAGCCAGTTTGGATTTGCAAAATAGTCCCAAGAAATTCAAGGTAGGTGGGATATGGGAGAAAAGTACAAGGTTCTTATGTGGCTTTATGTTATTCTGAGATCTTATGTAAATGTCTGTTGAGGAGACGTATCTTCTTATCTTGTGTCAGGATGTGATCTTTCGTAGCTAATAAATGCATCACACAAAAATATTAGTAATGTGAATTAATGTTTGTTTCATAATTAAAACTATCACTTGATCACTTGATCCCCCGTTATTCATCGATTTACTCGAGCGGGTGCCAGTAACATCTCCATTCATCCCTGTTGCGTGCTAGCGTAGCCCAATGGCATCTGTTCGTTCTAGGAACATGCAGAGCCTCAAACAGATCATTCAGGGTCTTGACGAAGAAGTCTGACCATCTTGTAGGTGGGCGTCCACGCGACCTTTTGACGTCCCGTGGAATCCAGTCAGTAATGGCTCTAGTCCAGCGGTTGTCTGTAAACCTCATTACATGTCCAGCCCATCTGATTTTTGATGCCTTGGCAAATGAGACAGTTATTATTAAAACTATAATAAGTAGCAAATAATAATAGAAGCTAATAATATCAATAATAAACTAATATAATAAAGGTAAAGGTAAAGGTCCTCCCGTTGTTCATCGATTTGCTCAAGCAGGCCCAGTAACGTCTCCATTGGAGACTTTGTTGTTAATGTGTTTGGCATATCTAATACGTCATGGGGAGCTTGCCAGGCTCTGCGTGCGGGCGAGATACTCTCAGTAGCTTGCCGGGCTCTCCGAGAGCTAAAATAATTAAAACTATACCATAAGGAAAAATAAGAAACTTTAAAAGAAGAAATACACTTCAAAGACATATTCTGTATAAAGTAACAGAATGGGAGACTAACACCCAAGAATAGTAGAGACAAGGACCAGGAGGTTTACTCCACGGCTTGGAAGCCAGCCTCAAATGCTGGGGGAAAAGGCAGCTGAGATAGAGAAGTAAAGGGTGTTTGGAGGAACCGCTTGGATTGGGAGATGCATGTGGAAAGTAAACTATAGATCAGTACAATGGCCATTCAATGCCTCTGTTGCAAACTGTCACTGTCACTGTCCTCCTGTTGTTCATCGATTTGCTCAAGCGGGCCCAGTAACATCTCCATTGTGAGACTTGTTGTTACTGTGTTTGGCATATCTAATACATCACGGGGAGCTTGCCAGGCTTTGCCGTGCGGGCGAGATACTCTCGGTAGCTTGCCGGGCTCTCCGAGGGGGCAGAGGAATCGAACTCGGGTCAGCCATGTTGGCTGCATACAAGGCAAACGCCCTACTCGCTGTGCTATCACTCCAGCCCCTATTGCAAACTACAATACCCAAAAGAAAAGTGAGAACAAAAGAGAATGCCCTGCCATCCCAGAGGTGGGGTGGGGAGGGGGAGATGGGGTGGGGGTGGTGGGAGGGATACTGGGATTATTGGTGGTACAGAATGGGTACTGGTGGAGGGATGGGTACTAGATCATTGTATGAGTGAAACACAACTACGAAAGTTTGTAAGTATGGAACTGTACCTCTTCAAAGATGTAAGTTGTTCCATGAGAAACACTGTGTAAGAAAGGTAGAGAAGTTGTCAAGCATTGGCTTAGGGAAGAAAAATGGTATCTGGACTCAGCCACGGAACATGGTATTTAGTGAGAACATGGGGGATGAAATAAAACCTACATGAAAACGTGATTCTTTCCTAACCCATTTTTCAATTCCATCATTTTATCCCTAGTGTTCAAAGCTTTGAAATATAAGCTTACCTAGATCTGCTTGTACCTTCTTCCCATCAAATAGTATGGGGCCGAAGACAAAGCACTGAGGAACTGAGCTATCTACTCCACAACATGTTCTCCTAGGTTTATCACACCCTACATAAGTCTTCTGACATAGTTGCAAAATATTGGGCTCTAATCACACAAGAAAATGCTTGTGTGGAACTAGCTTTATAAAGCAATTTCATTCAAAACAACAGGACCAAATCTGAGCTATTATAGTACTCCAAATCAGCCACATCAGCTATATCTAAATCTGTTCCTTATGTATAGTTTGCATCCTCTGCACTGCATGTTTTCCTTAACCTTGCTGTGAGTGACCCCCAAACACTCACTAGGAGTTGGGCCTGAGCACTACTGGATGTGACCCCAAACTGAGAAAAAAATTTCATCAATATAGAAACCATCACAAATCAAAATCACAAATCATCCTGTTATTCGTCGATTGCCTTGAGCAGGCCCCAGTAACGTCTCCTTCATCCTAGCCCTGAGATTATATTCAAGGCTCTTTAGGAGAATGAGACCCATCATTGTTACTGGTATTTGGCATATTGGGTACGCCACGGGGAGTTTGCCAGACTCTGCCGTGTGGGCAGGCTACATTCGGTAACCTGCCAGTTTGTCCATAAACAGTATTATAAATCATGGTCCCATAAACTGGCAAGCTACCCGTGACGTATTCAATATGCCAAACACAGTAACGAGTCTCACGATGGAGACTTTACTGGGCCCACTCGAGCAAATCAATGGGAGCATCGTGCTCCCATGCTACCGGTCCCATAAACAATTTTTTCAATCTTAAACTAGAAAAATAAGTATTCTGTAATTAGATTTTTCTGGGTCCCTTTAGGGACCAAAGTTTATTTTATATAGTTTATCATTTATGAATTTATTTCCAATGAATATGTTATCTTTTAATCACAGAAGTGCTCAGATATGCCAATAAAATATCTTCCACTTTGAAACAACCCCAAAAATAGAAATACTCTATTGTTCTTCAGTACATGCAGTAGTCAGCTGGTACTTCCTACTTCCTTTACCAGGGTGTTTACCGTATGCAGGTCTTTGCTTTCCTTTTCTAACCACTCTCAGAATTGATTTCTCAAGAGTCAAAAATTCACCTCACCATCTACAGCCACTGGGTTGGAGAAGATTGTGGTTAAAATAACACCAAATCAGAGACAGCTGACTCTGAGCATCTGCTGAACTCCCAACTTACCTCAAAGTTCTCTGAGTATATATGTGTGTATGTCCAGTGTAAACACAAATGATTTTGATAAAGTCTGCGTGAGATTGGTACTCAACAGTAATTAGCTAAGGCTGACACCTTGTTTTGTTTTATCTTATATGATTGTACTACTGAACCAAGGAAACACAAAGTTTGGGAATCTAATACCTTCCTTACCTATTTGCAGATTTTAATAGAAGGTATCCTAGGACAGGGAAACGTAGCCAGTATTGCACTCTTTGAAATCAAGATGACAACCAGCTACTGCATTGGTAAGTAGGTTTCATTTTCATTGCATCAGCACATGAATCTTGTTCTACAAATCAATGGCTGCCAGAGGGCATTGAATCATTCCCAACAGCAAAGGATTTTATAGGGCACACTTTGTAATGTGTACAGTAGTATAAATTGGTTGCTAAGTTCACTTGAATATCCTATTGCTTCTAGCTTCCTTCCTAGCATAGAAAAGCTTGTTAGAGTTTGCCTGGCTGGATTAATGAAAGAAAAATGGATGCAGCAACTGTAACCTGAGTTGCCACCTACACCTCAATACATTCTAATAAAAACAATTTTCAGTTTGCTGCGAACAAACGCATCTTTCCGTAAAATTGGACAGAAACATGGGCATCATATTACCTCTTTTCCTCTCTCTCTCTCCCCCTCCCACTTCTCTTTCACTGTTGCTTTGTCTTTATAATCAGTTGTCACTTAGATTCCACTTGAACAGAACTGCTTCGGTGATGTTGATGTCCTGTGGTCCCTGCCGGGCTGTTTGTCTGCCTCTGGTGCCATGATTATGGATGAAGGAGACTGACAGAGAAGGACAAAGCCTCGCTGTTGAGGGTCAGAGGAAGGAAAACCAGGAGATTAATACAGGAAAAGCATTTTAGCTGAATTGTTCAAAAGGAGCAGAATTTAGTCAAGTTGGGATAACAAGGTAGCTGTAGAAGGCATATCCTGTAGGGAGAAAACACAACATGTTTAGGCAAATGCAGAAGGTGCTGGAAGGCATTTTCGCATGAATCAGAACCAAGGGAATCTGTAATAGAAGATATGGCTCCAGGCTGCGGAGCTGGGATTTGAATTAAGGTTGGCAGGTGCTAAGAGTCGGCTAGCAGGGGAGGGCATGCAGTCACATTTTCAGACAATGACCTGGCTACCCCATGGAAAATGAGTTGGAAGACAAGGGAGGTATGCAAAAGTCAGGAAAACCCCTGGGAATGACTGTGATCTTGGAGAAGGGATGCAGGAAGAATCTCAAAGTGTGAAAGTCTCAAGGCTGTGAAATGGGGGAAAAATGGTGATATGTCTGAGAATTTGACCTGTCAACCATACTTGGAGGCTGACTGAGTGGCTTTGGAAAGGGAGAATAAGGAGAGTCAGAAATGATGCTGAACAAAACGGGAGACTAACACCCAGGAATGGCTCAGATTAGTACCAGGAATTTTGCTCCATGACTTGAAGGCCAGCCACATGTGCTAGGTGAGAAGGAAGCTCAGATAGAGAAGAGAGCACAAATAAAGGGTGTTGTGAAGACCCTCCCAGGGTGGGAGAGACATGCTAAAAGTGGTCTATAGACCAAACATGATTGCCACTCAATGCCTCTCTGGCAAAACACAGTACCCAAAAGAAGAGAGAGAGAACAAGGGGGAATGCCCTGCCACAGCGGCAGGGTGGGACGGGGGGGGGGGGGGGGGGGGGAGGGGGCGGGGGATGGGGGGGGAGGGATGCTAGGACCCGTGGGGGGGGAGGATGGGCACTGGTGGAGGGATGGGTACTTGATCATTGTATAACTGAAACCCAAGCACAAAAATTTATAAGTCTATAAGTGTACTTCATGGTGTTTCACTAATAAAAAAAATGATAAAAAATAAAATAAAATAAAATTCTAGGCACTACAAAAAAAAAAAAAAAGAAATGATGCTGAACTAAAAGGAGCCTTGGCTAATTCCCTGGATCTTATTTCTTATTTCTCTATTTTGGCCTCCACAGCATCTCTAACACAGTGGAAAAAAAAAAACTGAGTAGGAAAATGGAAGTTTCTGAAGATACGGTGATTTTTCTTTTTCTTTTCTTTTCTTTTTTTTTTTGAAAAAGCCATTTACTGGTCCACTCTCTCTGATATAGTCACTTACAGATTCAGGAATATAATAACCTCATTTGCCCAGTTTCTAGAATGCTGAGTCCCATTACCCTTTATCAATGCTATTGGTTCGTATCATACCCCATCTCCCCTTCATTGCTGTCATAGCATCATGACTTGGCGTCCACATATGCCTGACTGTGGTGCTCACATTTGTTAGCTGTGATGCCCATCAAAAACCACACTCCTGTAATTGAGGTGCTTGCTGGTGATCACACTCTTGGATTCTGTTGCTCACACATTCTGGTTTATTGCTCACCGGGGCTTGCTCACACAGGTGGTCACCAAGTGTCACACTTCTTGGCTATGGTACTCACACATCTTTTAGTTGTGAGCTGAGCGGGGCTTGCACCTCTTCCATTATGCTCACACGTACCTGACCACAGTGCAGCCAGAAATCATTGCAGCCCCAGGATCATAAACAGCAGAACTGCAAGCCTCGAATTTCTCACCCAACACAATGGGAGATACCCATTATAGACTCGAGCAGAACTGAGAAATACTCAAGGCCCCAAATCCTAGAAATGAGGAGAATCTAGACTGCCAGGGGGATGTCATCAAACCAAAGAGCCCAGAGAGGGACACTGGGTGAAAACATAAGAGAATAGAATTTGCGTCTAGAATAGTTCAATCCATTCATAGTTATCTCCTAACCCATCAAGCAGTAAAGGTCCTAGATGTTCCGTTTTAGGGTTTTTTTTTTTCAAGTTTTATAATGAATCGCCCTAAGATACAGTTACAGATTTACAAATTTTCGTGCTTACGTTTCAGTCATACAATGATCGAGTGCCCATCCCTCCACCAGTGCCCATTCTCCATCACCAGTGTTTCCAATATTCCTCCTGCCAAGCCCTCCCCACCCCCAGCCGCCACTTGCCTCTGTGGCAGGCATATTCCGTTTTACTTTCTCTCTCCTTTTGGGTGTTATGCTTCACAATACAGGTACAAAGTGGCCATTATGTTGGGTCCATAGTCTACTTTTGGCACACACCTCCCATCTTGAGTGAACCCTCCAAGCATCATTTACTTGGTGTTCCCTTGGACAGCCCCCTGCCCACATTAAGACACATCCACACACTAGCAGAGCACCATGTATTGGCTCAGTTAGCACATTAGCCCCACAGCTTGTTTGATCATCTGTAGAATGGAGATGAAAAGGTCCTGTTGTTAATATTCCTAGGGGAAAAAATGAGATCTTAGATTAGAAAGTGATTCCCATGGCACCGGGCCATCAAAAAATGCTAATCCCACTTGCTCTTCTTCATGCCCGTGTTCTCTCTTGAACACGTATCTCCCTTGCTTATCTTTATTTTTACATTTTTATAAAGTTATTCATGATGATTCATTACACTTGTATTCCAACGCCCATCCCACCACCATTGCACCTTCACACCACCCTTATTTCCAATTTTCCCAACAACCACCCAAGTCTAATCCAATAACAGGCCCTAAATAGTTTATTTTATATTACTTGCTGTGAACAACTCACTAAAAATGATCCGAGAAGGTTTCCTTAGAAGGAAGTGTGTAAAGATTGTTGTATCTCCCCTGGGGGCCATTAGGCCCTTGTATAAGAAATTACTGACATGTTACAGGTTAAGCCTTTTGTGATAATATTTTCTTAACCGAGATTGGTTACCTTCTACCTTACATCCCATTCAATGTGGCGTGCTTCTACTCGGATATCAGTTGTGTAGAGTTTGAGATGTCCTGAGGCCGCAACTGCAGCCACACACTCCAGCCAAAACTCTAAAATTTTGAATGGGGCCATACAACTGGAGTTAAATTTTTAACTGGATGGAGACTTTGGGGTCCCGAAGCATCTCTGCAGCTTGTTGATCTCTCTCAAGATTTATTTGAGTCTCTGGATCATGGCCATTTAATGATCTTATATGGTAACAGAGGCAGTTGATGGATGTGAGTGCTAGACTCCTAGATGAACAGGGGGATGGGGCTACAGGGCATGGGGGGGGGGGGGGTTTTCCTATTCCTGACTCTGTGAGAAACCTAGAGATTTTGGTCATAAAACCTGTACACCCGAGTTTTTTTTTAACAGATTCCTTCCTGAATGAGGCTTGTCCCAAGCCTTGAGCATGGTGGCAATTAGAGTGTGGAGGTTTTCAGCTGCCAGGACTCTGTTTAGGCAGGTGATGGGCTTACCTGCCCCCTCCAGTTTGCCCCAGATGAAACTCAGCCTGGCATGAAGTCCATAAACACCTCACTTGTCTCTATTTTTTGCTTGCTTCTTCCAGTCTGGAAAACCTTCTGTTCTCTCTTGAACACATGCTTCTTCTTTTTCTCTCCCTTCACATTTTTCATGCAATAAAAACGACCTTGCTTCCAAAAAAAGAAAAAGAAATAAAGAAATGCTAATTATCTTTCTTTCAGTTATTGACAGTTGAAGGTTTGTTTAAATAACAGGAGTGTCAATGCTTCCATTATGTTAAACTCAACGCTCACCCTCTAATGACTTCTGTCTGTGTACTGTTTTCTTCTCTCGGTTCTTCATTTGTAAAATGAGATCAGACTAAGTGCAGAGCCAACCAATGTGATTAGGAGAGAGCTACAGAAATAAATATCTTATCATGTTCATCTTCTATTTTCCAGGAGATGGGGCCCACTCATATGGTCCCTACCTGGAGGGCAGAGGATGAGTGTGGAGAGTCCACTCCAGTGAAAGATGGTCAGCATAGTCAGACCTCAGTCCCACGGAGGAACTGACTTGTGACTCTCCCAAAGGAGTGTTGATTGGACACAACTTACTGCACAGTCATGTGGAATCACTAATAGATTCAGTAATAGAAAAGGAGGGATGCTTTGCCCTTTCTCTCTTCTCTAGAAGAGCTAACTTGGGTCTTGGCTATAAAAAGCAGATGATTTTCACAAGTAGGAAAGATGGCTCTTAACTCTGGGTATCTTGTCTATCATCATGAGAGAAAGGAATAGTGAGATGGACTATCAGAAGAGATGGAAAGTGAATAAAACAATAGCACTATGACATAGCCTAATGTAGCACTTTGCAATACATGGTTGATAGACCAAGCACCCAGAAAGTGCTGAGGGTTATGCTGGGGTTTGTTCACATGTTGGCAGCTTTATGTGGTAGGAACATTCCCCCCCCCTCCACTTCAGAGTCTGAGAAGTTGTGTGAAAACCTCATGGCTTGTAAATGGAAGAATCCCAATCCCAAAAGCAATGATGAACTCTAGTCACTATTCCTTATAGGCTGATCTAACATTCTCCTCGGAACCATTATTACCCAGAGCTGTGAATGTAAAGGAAGGTTCCAGTGGGCAAAGAAAGTGAGAAATAAGCCTACGTATCTCAGCACAAACGTTCAGGTAGTGTGGATGTACCCAGGTGTGGCCATGTCTGTATAACGTGTGTTTTTCTTTCTCCTTTACCAGAATGTGACTTTGAGGAAAACCATCTCTGTGGCTTTGTGAACCACTGGAACCCCAACGTGAACTGGTTTGTTGGTGGAGGAAATATTCGGAAGCCCCATTCCATTCTCCCGCAGGATCACACCTTGAAGAATGAACTGGGTGAGCTGGGTCAGACGATGTCCTTTGCGTGGATCACGTTTTGGCATCTCTCTTGCCCTTCTGCCCTGCCCCCCCCACCCCTATGACAACCCAGCTGTGATTCTGTGCACATAGCAGGTAGGAGAGGTAGGGGAAGGTGGGAATCAGCAAGCTTGGTGGGAGAGTACAGACACTAAGTCATGAAAACGACTCACACTGCAGACATGAACTCTGTAAGGAGAAACTACCCAGCTAACCGCTCTTCTTCACCTGGAAATTTCACATTTCTATAATATGCTTCATATCTGTTGTTTGTTTGATATTTCTTATATCTGAGGAGAAGACTGGGATAATGCTTGATGAATCCCTCAAAATAGAAGCTTTGGAGAGAACAACTCCTTAAGAACTTCCCAAGTGGCAGTGAAGAGAGCCAATGGGAGGGACCCTGAATCCTGAATGTGGTGTGCCACAGGGCCCCCTAGTGACCAAGTGGGTAACCCTTTAGAGGGAAAATGGAGGCAAAGATATCAGTGCAATGTCAACTTTCAGGACAAAGCTTTCACAGAAGAGAGATGAGGAAAAAAGCTTACTTCCTTGTGTGTTAAGACGGCTCTCACCTGGATCTGGCTCCAAAAAAAAAACAAAGTCTACATTCATCATTCCAGTCCTTAACGCCAAGGTCTGATTGACTGGCAAGAAGATTCTTTTATTTAAAAATTGTGTTTATTTAGAGGTTGGGTGTCACACCCAACAGTGTTCGGGGCTTATCCCTGAGCCTGTGTTCAGGAGTTTCTTTTGTAGGGGAACACAGATGTCAGGGAGCAAAGAGGGATCAGCCTATTGCGAAACAAAAGCCTTAGTCCCTGTACTATCTCTTTGAAGATTCTGTGACTGGATTTTCATCAAGAACAAAAATTGTTCCGCCGAAAACAGTAATTTAGGGTCTGGAGAGATAGTACAGAAAATAAGACACTTGCCTCGTAAACAACCAACCCAGGTTCAATTCCCTGCATTCCATATGGTTTCCCGAGCACTACTCTGCATAATTCCTGAGCACAAAGTCAGGAGTAAGCCCTGAACATCACCATGTGTGCCCTACCACCTCAAAGAGAAAGAAAGAAAACAGTGATGCGGGGGTGGGGGTGGGCACAGTGGCTGTACTCAGGGCTAACTCTTGCTTCTGTGCTCACAGGACCATATCGGATGTCAGGGAACATACTATAACTGCCCTGTGCAAGGCTATCATCTTTACCCTTTGTTATCTCTCTCTAGCCCTGCAAACAATCACTACTTCTCTTTTGATCCTTGCCTTGTGGCTATTGAGATCATCTGTTCAGTTCCAATAAACTTGTTCTGATGAAACTATGTCCCCTAGGCTGAAGGTCTAGAAACCTTTCTCTTTTAATGTTTTGACCCTGTCTCCAGTGTTTTTTTGTTCTGTTTGCTTTGTTTTTGGTGCCTGTCCTGCACTTTATCTTGACCCTGGGCAGTCTTAACATGATCTTGTTTTCTTTGTTCTCTTTAATCTGTCTCCTTTATATTCAGAGTTTCAGATTCAATTTCCTAAAGGGATTATTAGACACAGGGTCGAAAGCAAGTAGTGTTTGGCGTGAACCAGAACTCTGTGGCAAAGGAGATAGACCCTGTACAAAGAATTTGCAACTGTGACTAATTGCTGTGTATGAGAATAAGAGAGAGGGTGCCCAGAGCCTTTGGTTTTGCAGGATCAGTAAAATATCCCCAATTTCTTAAAGTTGCTAGCATTTCTCCTCCCCCTTAGTTCATGGGTCAATGAGACACATCCTCAGATCAAACCAACTAGCCAATTTCTATTTTATTTTATGCTTTCCTTTTCTTTTTCAAGTTGCCCAGATCTCCTCAAACAAAATGTTAATAAGTAACTTTATATCAAAAGTGCTCCTACTTGTTTAAGAACACAACTGGGGCCAGAGCGACAGAACAGTGGGTAGGATATTTGCCTGCATGCAGCCCATGTAAATTCAATCCCCAGCATCCCATATGGGCCACCAAGCCTGCCAGGAGTGATTCTTAAGTGCAGAGCCAGAAATAAGCCTTGAACACTTCCAGGTGGGTGGCCCACAAACCAAAGGGGGGAAAAAAAGAAAGAAAAAGAAGAATTCAACTTTGGAAATCGCATTCCTGCATTTTAGGAATGATTAGAAAATTACAGTTCATATGGCAAGTGTCTCCAGGATCCCAGCCCATTTTCAAAATATAGATTTAAGAAAGTGGGAAATTTCTACCACAAATGGTAGAAATAAGATCAGTTAAGATATAAGATCAGCAGGGTAGGATGAGGGGATGGGAAGTGGGAGGGATACTGGGATCCGTGGTGGTGGGAAATGGGCACTGATGGAGGGATGGGTACTTGATCATTGTATAACTGAAACCCAAGCACACAAATTTGTAAGTCTACAACTGTACCTCCTGGTGTCTCACTAATAAAAATTTTTTAAAAAAGATATAGCACAGCGGGTAGGGCATTCGCCTTACACGCGGCCAACGTGGCCGACCCGAGTTCGATTCCTCCGCCCCTCTCGGAGAGCCCGGCAAGCTACCGAGAGTATTCGATATGCCAGACACAGTAACAACAAAGTCTCCAATGGAGACGTTACTGGGCCCGCTCGAGCAAAAAAGATATAAGATCAGTTAAGATCAGTTAAGATTTAAGAATAGCTTCTAACCATTGACCAGTCCTCCTGGCCCCTGTTTTTCCCTGTTTTCCTGGATATTAGCTTGCCACAAGTGTGTGGGGACCAGAGGGCAGTTAGGATAGAGAAGGGACCACTATGACAATAATAATTGGAAATGATCACTCTGGACAAGAACTGAGTATTGAAAGTAGGATATACACGATTAACCTTTCAGCATCTGCATTGCAAACAATAATACCCAAAAGCTAAGAGAGTGAGAGAGAAGAAAAGTGCCTACCATAGATACAGGGGAGGGGTAGCAGGAGAGAAACTGGGGACATTGGTGGTGGGAAATGTACACTGGAACACTGTGTGACTGAAACCCAATCGTGAACCACTTCATAACTGTGTATTTCACTGTGATTCAACTAATATTTTTTTTAAAAAGATATAAGATCAGTTAAGTACTCTAAGGATGGTGATCCCCTCCATTCCCTCCAAAATTTCTTTTCAAGCCTTCTGCACAAGAAGGATCATAGACTGTTTGAATATCCTAAAAGATAAGGAGAAAAGAAAACAGCTGCACTGGAGAAAGGGCTTCGATAGGCAGAAACAAGTAGAGAGAGGCAACAATACACAGTGGCAATAACAAACGGGAGCTGAGAGAAAGCTGTCACTCACAGGCAGCAGGAGAGGACCCAGGCTGAAAGACTGAATTCCTGGGAAGAGTTGTCAATGGTGCAAGGCCTTTGAGCAGGGAGGAAATCTCAGCAGTGTATTAAGTTTAAATAACCAGATGGTATGTATCTTAGTAGAAAAGCGAAGGTAGAACAAAACCACAGAATGCCCCAAAAAAACATTTTGTTAGGGGCCAGAGAAATAGTACAGTGGGTAGAGCATTTCCCTTGCATGTAGCCCACCCAGGTTCTATTTCCAGCACTCCATATGGTCCCCTAAGCCTGCCGAGGTGATCCCTGAACACAGAGTCAGGAGAACGCCCAGAGCTGTGGACCAAAAGCAAAGGGAGAACAAGAACAAAAAAATTGCCCCCAAAAATATTTTTTGGGGGCCAGAGAGATAGTACAGTGGGTAGAGCATTTCTCTTGCATATAACCCACCCAGGTCCCAGCAAGCTACTGAGAGTATCTCACCCACAGGGCAAAGCATGGCAAGTGCCCCGTGACGTATTCAATATGCCAAACACAGTAACAACAAGTCTCAAAATGGAGACGTTACTGGGCCTCTCGAGCAAAATTCAGTGAAAAAAATCATTTTTTAAAAATACATCTAAGGATTGCTTGCTTAGGGAATCACAATTTTTAAAAGGCAAAGCATTGTTTGATACCCAGTAACACAAGATTATTCAAGAACTGCTGGGAACTAACCCCAAGCACAGAGGTAGGAGTGGTGGCCCCTGAACACCATTAGGCGGCCCCAAAGACATAAATAAATAACTAAATAAATATATAAATAAATAAAAAGCTTTCTTTTTTAAAAAAAATTTAAATTACTTTTTATTAAGCAAAGTGATTTTCATGCTATTTAGTTGAGTTTCAGACATCACGATCACGATCACAATCATCCTGTTGTTCGTCGATTGCCTCGAGCAGGCCCCAGTAACGTCTCCTTCGTCCTAGCCCTGAGATTTTAAAAAGTGCCATACTCAAGGCTCTTTCAGGGTTAGGAGAATGAGAGCCATCATTGTTACTGGAATTTGGCATATTGGGTACGCCACGGGGAGTTTGCCAGACTCCGACGTGTGGGCAGGTAACATTCGGTAACCTGCCAGGTTGTCCAAAGTAAGAATGAGATAATAAGATGTCATGTGACTGCAAATGTGGCCGCGCGCTTCTGGGAGCTGGGTTTTATAGTCTCTGGGTCTTGGCCGTTGATGGGATTACACAGTGCTGGGGGTCAGATGGTGAGTGTGACCCCTGCCTACTGAAAGATGGAGGATCTGGGTGGAGGATGCTCAGCCAACACATTTCAGACATAGTGTTCCAAAACCAATCTCAGCACTAGTGTCAACTTCCAGTGTCCCCAGGTTCCCTGCCACACTCAGCCTGCCTCCTTGATTGGCACATTTCTACCTTTGCTTATTTGTAACTTGGATCATATGCTTTCAGTCTTGTTGACTCTAGGGTTTAGATATGTATACAACACACCTCTAGACCACCAATGTGGCTGATATTCCTGAACCCTACCCAGTTGCCTTCAACCTGCCTCTTCTTATTTTCCCTTCTGATTTCTTTCCTTCCACATCCTCATTTCTTTTATATAGGGTCAGTGGTAATCTAGGTATTCTGCCTTTGAACCTTGTGTTCCCTCATCCTGTTTTTCTATATATGCTTTAGACAAATGAGATCA